GACTGTACAAAATTTATCACATGTATGTTTTATACAAAGTTTGCTCTCTAACAAAAATAACAAAAATTAGCCATTAAAGGCACTTGAACTACACTTCAAAATTTTCCCACAGCACATGCATGAAACTTATTTTTCCTAGGAAGTACATGACATAAGAAGATTAACAAACTTGAAATCAAAATTTTCTGAAGCCTATATATTTTTCTACATATTTTTCAAGTTATCAGCGATATTCATGACTAAATAAAATTCTACAGCAAAGTATCTCTAAAATGACATGCAATAATTTTCCCAAGTAGATCTGCTGATAAGGAACCTAGCAAAATTTGTTTCAACAAATTTAGAGCAAATTTGAGTACCCAAACATTTTTCAAACCATTTCAAATTTCAAATAATAAAGAATAAATTGAAATCATTTATTCAAGCGCTCTCAGGCCAGCCCGAGCGGCTTAGGCGCGCCCACGACTATCTTGGCGCTGCAGCCCGAGCAGGCGCAGCCATCTCGATCCCCTCATGCCAGCCGGGCGGCGACAAGCAGGGCCCGCACGCCAAAGAGAGAAAAACGAGGGACGAGAGAGGGACGACGGCCTTGCGACAACAAGAAACTCACCGACGGCGAGGTCCCCGGCGAAACGGAGGGCACCAACGTGCTCCCCATGCCAAACTGTGTCGGATAGAGGTGAATAGGGAGGCGTCACGAGGGAAAAAAGGCTCGGCGGCAGTAATGGCGGAGGCGGCGGCGCGGGTAGTCACCGGTGGAGCATCTCCGGCCACGGCATGGTGAAAGGAGGCGCTCGGGAGACTCAACGTCGCCGTGCGGTGCTTGTGCGCGCGAAGTAAAGGTAGGAAGAGGAGCGGGGAGGGGGAGTCCACGGGAGCGGAGCTCACCAGCGAGCTCGGCCGTGCTCCGGCGAGCAATTCCCAAGGACGGGATGCTTACCACGGCAAAACAATGAGAGAGCACGGGTGCGCGGGTGTGGCGGAGTCTGTAGGCTAGACGGAGTGGTCACCGGCGCGAAATGAGGTGGCCGGTGGCGAGCGAAGCTCCGGCAAAGCGGCAGTCTTGTGATGGCGATGGCGGTAGCAGGTGAGAGGAGAAGTGAGGCTGGGAATCACGGTGGTAGCGAGGATTCAAGTCATGGCCAGCAGTGCAGGCTGCAAGCTGCCCATGCGCAAGGTGTGATGTCGAACCGCCGTCGGCCAGGTGGCGCCACGCCAGCGGCAAGCCTCGACGCTGGTGTGTATGTGGCCTGTGTGGCCTTGGCAGAGCGAGCATGGAGAGCAGAGCCAGCGTGTGGCGCTTGTTTGGCTTTGGGCAGAGCGAGGCAAGAAACGCTGGGGGGATCTTTGGTGGGCAGGCTTGCGAAAGGGCTGGCGAGGCGGCTGACCCATGAAGGAAAAATCCTTTTTCCAAATATATTTTCAAGGAAATTTTTAAATGACATCTTTCAAATATTATTTTGAGCAAGAAAATTACCTCTTTTGAAAATGAACCAAAAATGAAAGTTGTTTAGAATTTAATTCTCTACAACTTTGCTTTTAGGACGACAGCAAAGTTCTTTCTAGATTTTGAATTGTAAGATCAAAGTCCACGTTTAGCTCAAAACCCTAATTTTGGGAATTTATTTTTAAAGCCAAATTTTGAATTAATTTGAATACAAACATTGCTCCAAAAATTGAACTAAACATTGCTAGATGATTTATAATAGTAGCCAAACATGGTTTACTAACCTAGCAAGAAAATTCAGGGCAAAACAATTCTTAAACAGGTGTATGCAACATTCAGGTTTCACGCATGTTTCAGTTGTTTCAAAGCAATGTTTCAATTGTTATTCACATGATTAAGCATGTATGATTTGGATGCTTGATGATGCATGATATGCATGATTTGCAGTGCCTAAATGTAGGCATAACACCGGTGTGTTACATTTACCGAGTGCCCCCGATCTGGCACTCGGCAAAGTTTTTTTTAAATTCTTTGCCGAGTGCCAACTATGCTGGCACTCGGCAAAGAGGGGTTTTTTAAAAAAATTAAAAAAAAACTTTGTCGAGTGCCGACCGTCCTAGCACTCGGCAAAGAGGCTCCTTTACCGAGTGTCTTCTCCTGACACTCGGCAAACCATATTTTTTTTACTTTTGATATCCAAACTTTTTCTGCAGTCCTCATATAATATCTGGTACTCCATGTTCCAATGTGGCACATTCCTCGGACTTTTTCTATATTTTTTTAATTTATTTCATTTAATTAAATTTTCTTGGATAATTCAAATTATAACGGCTAGTCATTCGAATAATGAAAAAAAATAATGGAAAAATAATATTCATGTTATTTAGTGTAATGTGAGGCCGTATCCACAAACAGACCATCAATTTCGAACATCTTGTTCACGAAACATGACCACGAACTTGCGGTCGAGTTGTTTTTAAATTCTATAAAAAGCAAACGAAGTCCGAAAATTATGAAACTTGTCCAGATGTCATGATATCATATGTGGAGACTGTGATAGAAATTTAAGAAGGTTTCACTCAAGTTGTCACGTACGATGCTTACCACCTCGTCGGTCTCTTCACGAAATCACGAAACTTCTTCGAAGATTCAAGCATCGTACATGACAACTTGCGCCAAACCTTCTCAAATTTTTATCATAGCCTCCACATACGATATCACGACATCTCAACAAGTTTCATGATTTTCGGACTTCGTTTGCTTTTTATAGAATTTAAAAACACTTCGCACGCAAGTTCGCGGTCATGTTTCATGAACAAGATGTCCGAAATTTTGGGTCCGTTCCTGGATACGGCCTCACACTACACTCAGTAACATGACTATCATTTTTTAAATCATTAAATTCTATTATTAGTACCATGTGCAGTTCAAATTTATATTTTTCGAAAAAATTCAAGTAAACGATATAAAGTAACTAAATATATCAAAAAGCCACAAAAAATCCTCAAATTATAATGAGGAGTTCCTGGTACTTAAAAAGGGATGCAAAAAAAAATTTGGAGACAAAAAACAAAAAAAAAACTTTGCCGAGTGCCGGGGCATGTCACTCAATAAAGGGGGTCTTTGCCGAGTGCATTCATAGGGGCACTCGGCAAAGGTAATTCAAAAAAAATGTAATTTTTTTAATTTCTCCCTTTGCCGAGTGCCGCAGCTGTTAGCCACTCGGCAAAGACATTTTAAAAAAAAATGAATCTTTGCCGAGCGCCGTGTCAGGGGCACTCGGCAAAGTATTTTCCAAAAAAAAATCTTTACCGAGTGCCTAACAGTAGGCACTCGACAAAGAAGGATATGGCCGAACACCGTTACGCGGGGCAGCCTATGCCGAGTGTCCTTTTGTACCGAGTGCTCGGCACTCGGCAAAGAATTCTTTATCGAATGCAATTTTTTACCGAGTGCGACACTCGGCGAAGAAGCCCGATTTTTAACACTCGGTAAATGCTTTGTTTCCCGTAGTGCAAGGAGAATAGGTACCGGGGTAGCACAACCCGTGAGTCCAAATCTCTGACATAGGTGACATTCTCAAAGCAACTGCTATTTTCTCTCAAATCAATCTGTAAGACTTACCTAGAACATGAATTGTATGAAGGATCGGTCCCTTGGAGTTCACAGGTAGCAAAGCCTCAACTCAGTGCGGGGTTAGAGCATCTCCGAGGGTTTTCAAAATCCATTTCCAATCTTGATTTTTGATAAGATTAAAAAAACGCTCTCCAACAACTTCATATCTCAACTCCCAATCTTAATGCGGAAAAAATCCCAATCTAGTCTAGAGGTAGAAAGACGTGGAGAGGAATAAGAGTAAGGTGTAAGGACAAGGTTTCTAATGTTTCCATAAAAAAAACAAGGTTTCTAATGCAAAGTACAAGCGATAAAGGAAGTATAAAAGTTGTTGGGTTATTTGAAAATGATTAGGATTTCTAGCGTAAAATTGTCTTCTATTTTTAAGAGCAATTGTTTTTTTTAGAACTATGCTAGCTCTTAGCTTCTCGTGTCCACTCCGGTTTAGCTGTAGTACTTGCGCTTTCATGCTTTTAAGAAACGCAAATTTCACCTGTCAAGTGTCAACGAGACAACTTAAGCTCTGACGAGACGGATATGCCCGGATGCGGGTGATTGTCACACAGCACTCAAACTCGCTACCGCGCTACGGGTACAGTGCCCGCTTTTTCCACACCAGCTAGCAGCTAGGTTACGGTGCTACTAAGGCCCGTTTCAGTGGGGTTTTATCAGAGTTTTATGGGCATTAAATAGGTTGATGTGGCACCGTATTGATGAAAAGAGAGATGATAAGAATTTTATGGGAGTAGAGAGAGTTTCATGAGGATAAAACTCTTCTACACTATTTCCAAAATATAGATGCATTGGTAACAGGACCATGAAATCCCCACCGAGACTGGGCCACGACGGTGAAAAACAGTCAACACAGTAACGACACCCTAGACCGGATACACTGGCACAGCAAAGCATCTGTGTGCCCAGGAACGAGGCACAGGGACACAAGGCGCCTCTGCCTGCAGAAACATACAGAGCAGCAACACACCAGCAGCAAGCCAATAGCCAGCGACACCAACACACAAAAGCAGCACAGCGCCGCGTATTGATCAGTACAAACAACACATTTACCCCAACCACAAGCTTAATTGTTTTGCTGAACATATACAGATTCTGAGAGATATGATGCAATCCAATTAGTAGCACCACCACCAGAAATATATAGACGAGACAATATCACAACCAGCATTAACCGAGTTCACAGAACTTCCATAAAAAAAAACTGAAGTTCACAGAACACCCAGAGGTGCCAGATAGATGATGCATCTAACTATATATCATGTCACTTAAACCCCAACCAAACTTCACGAACTGACTCGAAAATGACCAATCAAGAACTTAACCCTAACCAACCTTCACGAACGACTACTAAACGACCAATCAAGAGACGCTAATAAGACAACCAATGCCACATCAGCCATGTAGCGCACCAGTAGTAGCCGATTCAGTTGGCCTCGTCCTTGGGCAGCGCGCCCATCCACGCCGGCGGGAGCATCCCCGTCTGCTCGTGCACCGTCGAGAGCAGCGGCGGGAGCATCTTGTAGACGCCGGGCACCTGCTGCATCGCGGCGCCGCCGCCGCTGCTGGCGCCGACGTCACCGCCCGCGCCCGCGCCGTCCGCGCCGGTCCAGATGCTTATCTTGGGCTGCATCCCGCTCACGGCGCTGGCGTTGATGCGTGCCATTTCCTGGTACAGGCCTCCGTCGATCATCAGATAGTCGCGGAGCGCGTGGTAGTTGCCGCCCAGCGCCTGCAGCATCGCCGCCACGTAGTCCGCCTTCGCCTTGCCCACCGTGGCCAGCGACTCCGCCTCCTTCTGCTTGGCGTACAGCTTGGCGTCCTCGGCCAGCTTCTGCTCGAAGAACTGGGCGTCCGCCTGCGCCTTGCGGGCCTCCGCGGCCTTCTGCTGCTCGTACAGCTTGGCCTCCGCGGCCTTCTGCCGGCTGTAGAGCGCGGCGTTAGAGTCTTGGACCTGCACTATCACAAAATGGAATTGAGATTCGAAAATCGCAATGCACGTTCTCCGAAACTGAAAACTGCAATATTACAACATGGAATTGAGATTCGAAAATCACAATGCAATGCATGTTCTCCGAAACGAAACTGAAATTGGCCAGACGGCGGGTACCTGCACGTCGTACTGCACCGTAGCCTTGCTGAGCTGCTCCGCCTTCAGCTTTTCGGTGAGGCGCAGCGCGTTCTTCTGCTCCACCTCCATCTGGAGCTCGGCCTCTCGTATGGCGACGGCCTTGGAAGCCTCGACCTCGGCGACCTTGGTCTGTCTGTCCCACGCCGCCTTCTTGGTGGCGAGATCCGCCTTGGCGGCGGCGACGACGGCCTCCCTCTCGTTCTCGAACACCTTGACCTCGGCCTCCACCTTGGCCTGTTCCTTGATCCCGATGGCCTCCTGTCGCACCCTGAAGACCTTGGTCTGCGCGTCGACCTCGGCAGCCTTCTGCAGCGTCGTGCCCTCGCGCTCCTTGGCGCCGACGGCGCCCAACATCCTCGCCTCGGCGACGTCGACCTTGGCCTGGTTCACCGCGCCCTGCTGCGTCTTCTGTCCCAGGTACGAGAAGTACTCCTGCCCGGGCACGTCGACGAGCTGCTTGACATTGGCGTTGTAGATGTAGAGGCCGAACTGGTTGAGCTCCAGCTGCACGTTCTCGAACACCGCCTGCTTGAACGACTTGGTGCCCTGGAAGATCTGCTCCATGGTCATGGACGCCGCCAGCACGCGCGTCTCGCCCTCGATGACGCCCCTGACGAGCTCGCGGACGTGGGACGAGTTCTTGTCGTGCGGCGCGATGAGCTTGGCGTAGAGCAGCAGGGAGGCTCCGTGGCTGCCGTCGTCGCTGATCTTGGGCCCGATGGTGAAGACGGCGGGCAGGATGAAGGGGAGCTTCTCCGAGCTCATGGCGTGCACCTCGAACTCGTAGTTGACCGGAGTGATGTCGAACTTCTTGCACTGCTGGCCCACGAACACCCACGCCTTCTTCGCCAGCTTCACGTCGTCGATGCCCCAGCCCGTGATGGCCAGGTACTCCGACGCGTCGGCGACCCTGAAGCTCGCCATCTCACAGACGATAGGCGCGGGAGGGGAGGGGAGGGGAGGGGATCGGATCGATCTGCTGGAGAAGAGACACGAGCTGTTGTTGCGCGATTGGAATTGAACGAGGGTTTGTTTTGGGTAGATCTAACAGCAATAATTGGGGAGGCGCCGCGGATATATAGGCTGGGAAAGGAGGTTGAGACTCGGGAAGGAGGAAGGAGATCGAATTGGGGTTTAGCCGGCGGCGGCGGAGGGGGAACGAGAACGATCTGTGCTGGCTCTGCTTAGTTGTTGTGCCCTGTGGCCGTGGAAGCAACCACAGGGGGTTCGTGACCGTCGATCGTGGGGTGGTCCCTATGCCGTACGTAAATCTCTGCGATTGATCCGGTAATACGTGAAAGGAAATTACTATCTGTTTGCGAAAAGGGATTTGTGTGTTTCCTCGTAACAAAACCAGCTACGAGGAGATCGCATTGTAATTTTGTGCGTTCCCACTTCCCAGTTCTCCCCACCTCTCCCGCGTCCCGTAACGGAGAACGGCTGTAATGGACGGCATCTTCCTCGCACGATGCATGCTACAAGTCCGGCACGACACTTGGAATCGAATGTGTACATGCTGCATTTGCACGTCGCAGGGACGCGACGCCGGGGTGTTATTCCGCGACTCCTCTCATCCTGACGTCGTCCAGTGCACAACAGATTGGGGACCCACATCTGCATGTGCTGCGACTCCTGTTCTGTGTGCCTGTGCAGTTTGTATAGGCCGCGCGGACTCGTTGCCATCTGTTAGACGTACTGTTACTACTACTCAGTAGCGATGATCTAGTGTGCTATCAACGGAGACCCGTTGGCTTCCTAGTATTCGTACTATTCAACTTATTTTTTTTTTAGTAAAATAATATTTTTTTATAATAATTTAGTTGGAACAGTGCTTTAGTTTTTTTCAGCCAAGTGAACGGGCCTGATTATTTGTGCTTTCCAGGCTACCATTGCGTTTGATGCTGTCCAGACTTCAAACTGAGAAGCTTAACGTGTACGTAGTTCATCAACTCGTTAATTCTTATGTGTGTTTGGTTCCTTAAAAAAAATCCTTATGTGTGTTTGCCCTTTTTTTCCTTAACGTAAAGTGTTTGCCTTCTTTTGATTTGAAGGCAGCGCGCTATACAACAAAGGGAAAAAAAACTCTGAACAAATTCTTTAGTGGAATCGAGCGACGTACGTGTGAACGGAATGAAAGGTTCACGAGCAAATGGTTCATCGTGAGATTTTTTTTTATTTTTAACACTTTTTTTTAACTATTTTTAAAACTGATATTGTTTTTTTTAAATCTAACAATTTTGGACGCGTCAACTAACATGGTGCGGCCAAATCAATCTACCGCGCCATGTATGGCGGCGCGGCCAGGCTACCACCGTGGCAGCGATCGGTGACGTGGCCCAGCTCTGCCGCGCCACATATCACGGCGCGGCGGGCCTGCCACGCCACAAATGACGGCGCGGCACCGATGTGCCATCGCGCACGGCGCGGCAGGCCCCAATAAAGGCCCGCGACGCGGTTCTCTCTTCCGCTTTTTCCACACCAGCTAGCAGCTAGGTTACGGTGCTACTAAGGCCACGACGGCGAAAAACAGTCAACACAGTAACGACACCCTAGATCGGATACACTGGCACAGCAAGCATCTGTGTGCCCAGGAACGAGGCACAGGGACACAAGGCGCCTCTGCCTGCAGAAACATACAGAGCAGCAACACACCAGCAGCAAGCCAATAGCCAGCGACACCAACACACAAAAAGCACAGCGCCAGTTGCTGGCCGCAGCAACACACAAAAGCAGCACAGCGCCGCGTGTTGATCAGTACAAACAGCACATTTACCCCAACCACAAGCTTAATTGTTTTGCTTCGAGCATGAGCATATACAGATTCTGAGAGATATGATGCAATCCAATTAGTAGCACCACCACCAGAAATATATAGACGAGACAATATCACAACCAGCATTAACCGAGTTCACAGAAATTCCATAAAAAAAAACCTGAGTTCACAGAACACCCAGAGGTGCCAGATAGATGATGCATCTAACTATATGTCATGTCACTTAAACCCCAACCAAACTTCACGAACTGACTCGAAAATGACCAATCAAGAACTTAACCCTAACCAACCTTCACGAACGACTACTAAACGACAAATCAAGAGACGCTAATAAGACAACCAATGCCACATCAGCCATGTAGCGCACCAGTCACTACGTGAAAAAATAGTTTGCAGTAACCGGGCTTTTTTTAGACGGCTGACATTGGAGCAGCCCCTACAGTGACGTGTTCGAGCTCCAGCACAGCAGCTGTCCCTACAAATAACATAGTAGGGACGGCTGGTAATACGAGCCGCCCCTATAAATATGTCGATTTACAGGGACAGCTGGTATGTAGAGGCGGCTATTACCAGCCGCCCCTGCTGTATCCATTTATAGGGGCGGCTGACCAGCCGCCCCTACAAATGCCCGATGTATATATATAGCAGTCACCTTCTTCCACCTCGGGCTACTCTCTCTAACCCGAGCAAAAAAGGTTGGGAGGCCTTGGACTCCTCCAAAAAATTACCCTACTAAGGGGAGAGGTTTTGATCTCAAATACTTTGGCGGGGAGGTTGTACAAGGTAAGAAAATGCTATTTCAAGCCTTTATTTGAAGTTTTAATGGTTGGTTAATGTTAGGGACCAATGCTAGGGTACCCGAAGAGGAGAAGCTAATGACCATCAACATTGATTCGTTCGTACGGCCAAGGCGCGACTACACCTCTTGCTGGGCCCCGCCTCGTCCGACCACCGAGGCCATGGGCCCTGCCTCGTCTGACCCCCGAGGGTTGGCTCCGCCTCGATGGGCGCTGCGGCTGCGGGCTTCGCATCGCCCGGCCCCCGAGGGTTGGCTCTTCCTCGGCTGATTCTCGAGGGCTGGCTCCGCCTCGCCCGACGTCTGAGGGCTGGCTCCGCCTCGCCTGATCCCTCGGGCATGGATCCTTATGGAAGCTCACGACAACCACTACGGTCCAGAAGGTGTGACCCAAGGTCAAACTTCTGACATCGTGCAGGGAGCGATCACATCTCAACACGATCCGTCCCCGCGACATGTCATTCTAGGGAACTCGCATCACCCACAGTGACGGACGCGTGGTCACTATACTGCCTATTCCCTGTATGCTAGCTGATCAACACGCTGGTTCGCCGTGCCGCCCGCTGGGGTGGAGTGGGACGTGACGACCCACTGACAATGCCAGGGCATGTCATTGTCAGCGAATAGGCACTCGGCGTGGCCCTATCATGGTTAGCGGACATGCGCCCAGCGTGGGGCTATCCCTGTCACCGCCTGCCATGTTAGCGGGGCCCGCACGGAGGAAAAGGAAGGCCCGGTGACCCTAAAGGACTTCCTTTGCCTCTCGTTTTCCTCTTTTCTCCCATCTGTAACCCGTGCTCTCCCTTGGCCTATAAAAGGGAAAGCAGGGCACCCCACTAAGGGGCATCGGTTCACGACATTGCACATCACACCACATCACAACATAACCACTAGCATCGAACCTCGAACACATAGCTGAGCAGCGACCGAGCTCTCGGCACCCATTCGATCTTAACATCAGAGACTTGGGACCTGTCCCTCTCTCGCCCGTTTGTAACCCCTACTACGAACTTTTTAGTGCTAATAACACGAGCAGCAGCCATGAACTGGACGTCGGGACATTCTGCCCGAACTAGTATAAACCTTGTGTCTTTTTAGCACACCATCCGGGCCAAACGCGCAATAATACAAATTTACTCGTTGGTGTTTACTCGAAACACCGACAGTTGGTGGGTCAGGTAGGGGTCTTTGCGCGTCCCGACATTAACATCAGGCCACGGATGGCTAGTCATGGCATCAGCTGGGTTCCGGGCGCACACGTGCATTTTGGGGACCTGGACTTCATCGTCACAGCGGAGGGAGAGCTGGCGCGGGCGCCCATCGTCGGTCAACCCTTCCACTCCACCGGCCTTGACGCGATCACCAAGATGCTCGAGGAGCTGCGGCTGCATGCGCCGGAGGCCCACGCCCCCAGAAGCGGCCAGCTCCTCGACTTCGACTATGGAAGGTTGGGGCGTCAGCTCGGCGTCTTCCTGGGACCCCAACAATCTCGAGAGAACCTGCGCCACCTCACCTTCTCGTTCGGCAACGTTATGGTGCGGCTTACCAGGGGAGAGCCGTTCTCCCCTTAATACCTCATCCGGAGCGCCCCAACAGTGCTCTCGTTCGGTCTCTACAAGACCACAGAGATCGTTGGCCACCTTGTGGCGCAGCGCATGATCCCATCCCCCGTAAATGATGAGTTCGTGGGGGTGATCGAACACGCCGTGGAATCTTTTGCATGACCTCCTCGTAGAGGAGCCAGAGTCGCCCTCTGGCTCTGACTCTAGTAGGGGGAGCTATCACCCATCTCGTGAATGCTTCATGATAGGTACCCTCAAGGGACACATCAAAAGCATCCATGAGGAGGAGGCTACCCCAATGAACGATCTCGACGATGAGGCCAAGGGGGAGATAGTGGCCCCACCTCGCATGCGAGTGGAGCGTCTGAAAATCAGACACCAAGTGCTCGAGAAAGCGTGACTCCAGCTCGAGCAGGAACGCGCGGAGCTCGATCAAGAGATCGAGCGCCATGGAGACGGTGGGCGCGCATGCGCCATGGCCCGCGACATGATCCGGAGGATCATCGCGGACAAAGAAGCCCTTCCTCGCTTCACCCGGGTGAGCCAAAACATCGCCGCTGCGGTGGCCTTGCTCCATGGTCTTCCAGAGGCCACGACGCCCGAGGATCGTCGGGCCCACCATGAGATTCACACGCTGCTTGAGCGTGTGGCGGCGCTGCAGGGCGAGAGCTTGTTGTCTCAACGACACGCACTTGACGCCAGCCAGCGCATGCCCTCAGAGCGTCCCGACAGGGACGCGTCAATCCATCAGGCGCCACAAGGTGATAGGCAGCGCACCGCAGTCCCGGTGCAT